TCTCTACTATGTGATTCTGCGGAAGGAGGCTCTCAAAGTTAAAGCGCTCATAAGATGAAGAGAAACACAAAATGTGCTAAAAAGGTTAAACAAGTACCCATTTGTGCAGCCTGCATGCCAAGAGCTCCTGCCAGCTCCTTCCATTGTGCAGGAGGGCCTGTCAGTCTGCAAGGGGCGCGGCCTCCCCCCCCCCTTAATCACTTCATGCAGGACCTGGGAGGCCCCGCATTCTCCCCATCCAGTCTCCAGCCTTTGTGTAAACATACTTTACCCAGCGGCCAGCTTTCCTACTCTTTTTGACATTTTAATCACACAGCTGACTATTTTGCTGCTTAGAAACTGCCATATAAGGAATTTTTTTTTAAAGGGATGGCAGAAATAAACCAAACTGGGCTTTATCTCCGGGCAGTGAAAGAGAGAAGGGCAGGGGTTCCTTTTCATTCCTGAGTGTTTTAGTTAAAAATAATTATATATACACGAAAGCAGTATTTGGGACGAGCACACCTGAGGCTGTTTATTGCATTTAAAACAGATCTTACATTTCTCACAGCATCTGGAGACTGAAAAACGATACTGTGTGGTATCAATCATTTTAGAGTTTTTAGCATCTTGAACTTTCACAGTAAAGGTTCCTGTCAATTTTATCTGGTTTAGGTTTTCATTTCACACTGGGAAATGTTCACAACAAGGAGAGAAAAAGGAAAAGGAGATGAGTAAGAGGCCCTTGGGGGAGTGGGTGGGGGGAACCTTTATCACCAACGCAAATGTCATTCAATAGCCATTTCCAAATGGTAAATCCGGTAAACCGGCAGATCCCAGGCTTGGATTTTTAAAGAGCACGATACCTAGGCTTCTAACGTTGGACCCCTCTCCCTCATATACCCCATAAAGAAAGTATTGGGGGGAGAAAGGAGGAGACAGAACTTGGAACTGAGAAGGGGGAAAACTTAACGCTCTATAAGAGAGACCTGGGCTGACAACCCCCACCCTGCAGCTGTGTCCCTTGCCGAGTGGAAGCAGGTGGGTGACCAGGTGGGGCTGCCCACAACCCTGGATTTACATGAGGGGCGAGAGCCTTGTGAGAGGTTTCTCTTTGAGGGAAGGAGCCAGACGATGACCTGACCCAGTCAAAACTTCTCAAGAGGAGGACAATTCCAAGCACAGTGTGTTGTCTGTCCATCACTTGGATTTCTCCTAGGCCCTAAGACCTAGGGGAACAGGGGAGGGGCTGTAAGTAAAACCTAAAAGGCTGCTTGAGACGGCTCTACTTCAGGGAGTGGCAAAGGGCCGCAGGAGGCTCCCGACACACATGCCTGGGCACTGGGAGCTGATGTGGGCAGGGCTCCAGGAGAGAAGTGCACCAGCGGTCGCGGCAGCCGCCCTAGTCATGAGCACAAGTGACATAACCCCCGGGGATGTCCAGAAACTTCTTTAACAAGGGTCTGGGGCCTTGTGCAAGGAGAGGAGGGTCGCAAGTCCATGCAACCTGAGTTATTACTGCTAATGTGACCTCATCCACACGCAAAGACGGGTGGGTCTGGGAAATTCAGATGGGAAATTCTAGGGAAGAAGAAATGAAAACAAGGCGGTGAGAGGGGAAAAACTGGTCCTCCGCTGATGGGTGGATGTAAATAAACATCCATTATCAAAAGGTGCTTACATCTAGTGGGAAAACAGTGCATCAAAACGCAGCCATGCTCCTTCCAGCAGCACCATTAAGATAGACGTTGACAAAGATTTTCAAGTCTGTCTGCAGCGTGCGTGTCTGCAGCACTGTGAGTGCAATAAACTCCTAGCTCAACCATAATCCGAGTGATGTTTCCACTTCCTTCCAGTGTGGCTTGATCGGGCTACTGTTATAGACTGGATGCAATTGCTGTATATAGTAAAGCACAGACATTCGTTCATTCACTTCATGTACTCAGGTATCTGTTGCAAGTCCAGGCACAGGGTGAGATCCTGAGGACCTCAGCTGAGGGGACACATTCACTTCATGTACTCAGGTATCTGTTGCAAGTCCACTGCGTGCCAGGCACAGGGTGAGAACAAGGGTGAGATCCTGAGGACCTCAGCTGAGGGGACGAGAGTCTTTACTACCTCGTTTGAATTTTATTTCAAAACACTTCAACATACACAGTGTGACATACGTGGGTGTCGGTTGGCTTTACCCTATCACCTAAAGGCAATTCATTGTCTTCATCTGGAATACAGGCTCCAGGAGTAGTTAACTAGCTTTTAATCAAGAGTCCACAGTAAGTCAGTCAGTGAACCATCCTTGTCACCAGCCAACACCAAGGATACGCTAATGGGCACACGTGGGGCTAGAAGTGGACTTGCACACTGGCTGAATTTCTGACTTTGTTCATGAGTGTAATGCTAGTTGGAAGTCTATTTTAGTAGTGAAATTTATGACACTTGTGGTAAGAGGACTGACTAGAAATACCACAGAAGCGCTCTGGCCCTTGTTGACCCAGGTATGAAGAAGTAGCAGGCCCGAGGAAAGGTACCCTAGAGTTGATAAGTAAATGGCGCCAGGCCCAGCTACTGATTCCAGAGAATTGCTAGGCCCCAGATGCAGAACAGCAGGATGCAGGAATTCCGTCTGTGGCAGGCAGAACTCCAAAGGTGTCACTCCAAAGTGTCCGTCTCCTGGTTACTGAATCAAACACACTCTGGGGACTGCTGTGAGGGGCTCTGCAGATGGATAAGAAGCAAGTTTCTAATCAGCTGAACTTAAACTACAGAGTGTACCCTGCATTACTGGGTGGCCCAACGTAATCACAGGAACCCTCAAAAGCAGAAAGAGCAAGAGTGAAGGTCAGTCTTCATCTCATGAGCACACGTGACACACACCTGGGGGGCTACCAGAAACTTCCAAAAACCCATTTACAAGTGCCTTGTGTAAGGAGAGGAAGTGCCTTGTGCAAGTCAGTGTGATCTGAGTTATTACTCCTACTGTAACCTCATCCACACCCAAGGAGCATGAGATGAGGCAGAGGAGGGCAGGCGGACCTGGACGAGGGACTCAGCCCTTGTGGACCTGACAGATTGCAGGCCTGGAAGATGGAGCAAGGAAGCCACAGAACAGGCATGAAGCCAGCTTACAGAAGTCAAGAACAACCCCAGCCGAGAGCCAGCAAGGAAATGGGAACCTTATCCAACAGCCGCCTGGCACTGAATTCTGCCAACCTGAAGGAGCCTCCATAACGGAAAACAGCCCTGCTGCATCTTCAGCTCAGCCTGTGAAACCCAGAGCCAAGACCCAACCCGGCTACAATGCCACACTGTCCTGGCTTCTCACCTCGGAACTGTGAGATAAGTTTGTGTTGAGCTGATACATTCATAGCAATGTCTTAGGCCAGTGGTCGGCAAACTCATTAGTCAACAGAGCCAAATATCAACAGTACGACGATTGAAATTTCTTTTGAGAGCCAAATTTTTTAAACTTAAACTATATAGGTAGGTACATGAGCCACACTCAAGGAGCCAAAGAGCCACATGTGGCTCTCGAGCCGCAGTTTGCCGACCACTGTTTAGGGCAGTGATGGTGAACCTTTTGAGCTCGGCGTGTCAGCATTTTGAAAAACCCTAACTTAATTCTGGTGCCGTGTCACATATAGAAATTTTTTGATATTTGCAACCATAGTAAAACAAAGACTTATATATTTTTGATATTTATTTTATATATTTAAATGCCATTTAACAAAGAAAAATCAACCAAAAAAATGAGTTCGCGTGTCACCTCTGACACGTGTGTCATAGGTTCGCCATCACTGGTTTAGGGCAACAATAGGAAACTAGTACATTGTCTATGAAATACTGTCATACTTGCTACAGGTTAACACTGAATGCAAGGTGCCCTCAGGGCATCGACCCCTGCAAGGGACAGAGCTGGGACGCTACTAGATA